AAGAATGCTCCTTACATTGGGGGTCAGTGGGAAGAATATCCGTATATTGGGGGTCAGTGGAAAGAATGTCCGTATATTGAGGGTCAGTGGGAAAAATGTCCGTATATTTCGGGTCAGTGGGAAGAATGTCCGTATATTGGGGGTCAGTGGGAAGAATGTCCGTGTATTGGGGGTCAGTGGGAAGAATGTCCGTATATTGGGGGTCAGTGGGAAGAATGTCCGTACTGTCAGAACATTTACTCTGATAAAAAAAACCCAGTATTTAATTCATGAAAACAGGCCGGGATCTGGAATTAAGGAGATTCGTACTCATTTTCATAAATCAACTAAATAACCTGAGTTCCTTATTTGCGATGATTTGAAGAAGAAATAAAAACAATAATGTGAGAAAATATATATATTTATTAACTAACATCAGTGCAAAATAATAAGCAAAATATAATTGGTGGCAATAAATAATACGAATCAAAATATGCAATAAGATTGATGAACAGACATAAAAATAAAACCGCAAGATAATATTTCAAATATTCATAAAACATAAAACTAAGAATCTCCTGGAATGTAATCAGTAACACTCGCAGTAGTTCAGCAGGATGTGACAAAGTAATCTGCAGATTCAACATGTGACCTCTCCCAGCAAAAGAGATATTCAGAGCTCCAAGTCCTTACTGCGAAGGAACTCATTTGGAATACTATGCACAGGATGAGGGAATCAACCAAGAATCTGTCTGAGAGAAAGATACACTTTCACTAAGTTATTTTATTTTTATGTATATATCACAAACTAAACCATTGACAAGAAACTGAAATCAGCTTCGAGGAGACTCCAAAGAGAATCCCCCCCCAAAAAAAATTAAAGGAAGACAATTCTTACTGCAGCTAAAATTACTTCAAATCAATTTTGATGCAAACACAACCGAATGGTCAGACAAAATACAAAATGGTTTAGATATCCACTATATTAACAAAAGTATTGGGTCACCTTTACACGCACAAGAACTTGAATGGCATCCCAGTCTTAGTCCGTAGGGTTCAGTATTGGGTTGGCTCCGCCCTTTGCCGCTATAACAGCTTCAGCTCTTCTGGGAAGGCGTCCACAAGGTTTAGGAGTGTGTCTATGGGAATGTTGGACCATTTGTGAGGTCAGGTACTGATGTTGGAGGAGAAGGCCGGGCTCGCATACTCCGCTCTAATTCATCCCAAAGGTGTTCTATGGGGTTGAGGTCAGGACTCTGTGCAGACCAGTCAAGTTCCTCCACCCCAAACTCCCCCATCCGTGTCTTTATGGACCTTGCTTTGTGCACTGCTGCGCAGTCATGTTGGAACAGGAAGGGGCCATCCCCAAACTCCTCCCACAAAGTTGGGAGCATGAAATTGTCCAAAATGTCTTGGTATGCTGATGCCTTAAGGAGTTCCCTTCACTGGAACTAAGGGGCCAAGCCCAACCCCTTGAGTAGCGTTCTGGCAACCGCCAAACCCAGACACGTCCATTGGATTGCCAGACAGAGAAGCGTGATTGGTCACTCCAGAGAACACGTCTCCACTTCTCTAGCGTCCAGTGGTGGCGCCGTGGCTTTACACCACGGCATCCCATGCTTTGCATTGCACTTGGTGATGTGCGGCTTGGATGCAGCTGCTCGGCCATGGAAACCCATTCCATGAAGCTCTCTACGCACTGTTGTTGTGCCAATCTGAAGGCCACACGAAGTTTGGAGGTCTGTAGCTATTGACTCTGCAGACAGTTGGCGACTTCTGCGCACTGTGCGCTTCAGCATGCGCTGACCCCGCTCTGTCATGTGAAGTGGCCTACCACTTCCTGGCTGAGTTGCTGTTGCTCCCAGTTGCTTCCACTTTGTTATAATACCAGTAACAGGTAACCGCGGAATGTTTAGTAGCCAGGAAATGTCACGGAACACCCGAATCCAATGATTTGGAGGGGCGTCCCAATACTTTGGGTAATATAGTGTATATGGCTATTAAATAGCACACAGAGAAATGGACGCGCAATAACGCTCATGAAAATGAGCATCATGCTTCTGTTGCACGTTTTTGAGCATTTCCAATGAAGTCTATGGGGAGGAAAAGTGATTTTAACTGCCCAAAGAAGCTCCTGTATCTTGTCAGGTGTTTTTTTCTGCTCAGGTGTGAGCCAAGGCCATTGAAATGACGGGGTTTCTTGTGTTGGGCAGTTAAAAACGCTTTTCGAACTGCTGAAAAACGCTGAGGTATGAACCAGGGCTTAGGGGGTTATTCACAAAGCTGCCGAGTGAATAACCCAGCCGAAGGGAAGTGAGCCGAACGGCGTTCGGCTAGTCACTTCGCCTCAGTACGGCTGATTTCAGCCGTACATCGGCTGCACTTCGGTCAGAGCATGTTCGGCTAAGCCAAAGTGCAGAGTTGTTCTCCTGTGTTGTCACCCTGTCACATGGTTTTAAGATGGAGACTACAAATAGCCATTTAACACACATTATACAGGCATGATCCACTGTTGTAATCATCAGGAAACGCGCCCAGAGAAATGCCATGCAGCCATCGCTGGAGTGCATGTAGACAGGAAGTGGCTGCAAGAGATAAGCAGAACTGAGATGGAAAAAAAGGATTTTATTGCTAAAAGAATGACGATTGTTGATGATGTCATCCATTCCATCACAATATATTGTATGGAGGTTCCAAGCCGCTGCATACACTGACCTCCGCCCTCTAGTGGCCGCCTGTCATATCGCTCCTCCCTTTCTTCCTCCTGCAGCCGCTCTGCACTCGGCTCCTCTCTATGGTTGCACATTCGTTCCTTCCTTTTTCCCTGTCCCCGGAAACATTTCTCTCTGTGATTGGTTCCGCTTGCTGGAGATACTTTTCAGGCAGGAAAGGGAGTGAGGTACGGCTACACAGGGGAAGTTGGGAGTGGGGTCCTGAGCACACAGACAGTTTTATCTGTCACTTTCGGCCAATCACAGTTCATGTCTACCTCCACACTAAGGAGAGGTGATTGTTTCATGTTTTGATTTGCATTCTGATAATTTCTAATGCATCATAAAGCCCAACTCCAGCCTGAATTTCATGTCTGTTTGAGATGGAGCTAGGGAAGGTGTCAGATTCTTATTGCTGTCCTCTCTGGGGAGATTTCCTCTCACTTCCTGTTCCAGTGATGTTTGTTAGACAGAACAGGAAGATGGGAGAAATTTCCATCAGGGACGCAGGCAGCTGACCCAACCTTCCCTGCCATATTCCAAACTGACAAGATTTGGCTGGAGCTGGGCTCTGCCGTAGGACACAATGTACAGGAAGTCATGGTCCAGGCTGAAATAAGGTATAATAATGACAATGCCTTGTAAGTTAGTGTCATGACCGCTCGTGGGCAGTGAGCAATGTGGAGGGGTCGGTCCATCATCACAGAGGATGCCATTTATAGCATTGTGCATAGAAACGATCTGCGACATTGAGCTGTGAATGGTCAGATTGGTGGATGTTTTGTATAACGGTGGAGTCCGGAGAGCCATAGATTCCTGACGTCTCCATTGGCCGGAGTCCTTCCATGTTGACTTGTCTGATCTGCAGAGGGTTGTGCCATTCCAGAACTGTACAATTCCATGCAGGTTGGACAGATCCTAATTGGCAGTTACAATCTGACCACAAACACGCCTGGAAGGTCATTCTTTATTCTGCTTCTGAATGTGGAGTTATTCTGATGGCCAATCTGGAGAGAATGAATGGAAGCAGAAGATGGTGGCCGATCCAAGTGGAAACTCTACCACAATCACGTCTCCTCTGCTTGTGTCCTGCAGGTCCTGCTTGTTGGATGGGATGGAAGATGTTGTCTCCCGGCTGTGCGGATCTCCTCCATCAGACCCGTTACCAGTCTGGGTCAGTGGCCATGTTGGCGTCTGCTTTAACCAGCTGATCCTCAGCACCGTTCCTCATGTTTTATTTGCCATCAGCAGTGCCTGCCATGCCGGGGCCTACAGGTAATCCACATACACACCGTGCCTCTTCTTGTCCTGGGATCGGGATTGACTAGAATAGTTATTATGGAATATAATGAGATTCTAGAGGTAAAGGGAGATGGTCCTTATGAGGAAGGGTGGAGGTGAAGAGAGATGGTCCTTATGAGGAAGGGTGGAGGTGAAGTGAGATGGTCCTTATGAGGAAGGGTGGAGGTGAAGTGAGATGGTCCTTTATGAGGATGGGTGGAGAGGAAGGAGATGGTCCTTATGAGGAAGGGTGGAGGTGAAGGGAGATGGACCTTGTGAGGGTGGGTAGTGGTGAAGGGAGGTGGTCCTGATGAGGAAGGGTGGAGGTGAAGGGAGATGGTCCTCATGAGAAAGGGTGGAGGTGAAGGGAGATGGTCCTTATGAAGAAGGGTGGAGGTGAAGGAAGATTGTCCTTGTGAGGAAGGCTGGAGATGAAGGGAGATGGTCCTTATCAAGAAGGGTGAAGGCGAAGGGAGATGGTCCTTATCAAGAAGGGTGGAGGTGGAGGGGGATGGTCCTTGTGAGGGTGGGTAGAGGTATGGTCCTGATGAGGAAGGGTGGAGGTGGAGGGGGATGGTCCTTGTGAGGGTGGGTAGAGGTAAAGGGAGATGGTCCTGATGAGGGTGGGTAGAGATGAAGATGGTTCTTATGAGGAAGTGTGGAGGTAAAGGGAGATGGTCCTGATGAGGAAGGGTGGAGGTGGAGGGAGATGGTTCTTATGAGGAAGTGTGGAGGTAAAGGGAGATTGTCCTGATGAGGAAGGGTGGAGGTGGAGGGAGATGGTCCTTATGAGGAAGTGTGGAGGTAAAGGGAGATGGTCCTGATGAGGAAGGGTGGAGGTGAAAGGAGATGGTCCTGATGAGAAAGGGTGGAGGTAAAGGGAGATGGTCCTTATGAGGAAGGCTGGAGGTGAAGGGAGATGGTCCTTATCAGGAAGGCTGGAGGTGAAGGGAGATGGTCCTTATCAGGAACGGTGGAGGTGGAGGGAGATGGTCCTTGTGAGGGTGGGTAGAGGTGAAGGGAGATGGTCCTCATGAGGAAGGGTGGAGGTGAAGGGAGATGGTCCTCATGAGGAAGGGTGGAGGTGAAGGGAGATGGTCCTTATGAAGAAGGGTGGAGGTGAAGGAAGATGGTCCTTATGAAGAAGGCTGGAGGTGAAGGGAGATGGTCCTTATCAGGAAGGGGGGAGGTGAAGGGAGATGGTCCTTATCAGGAAGGGTGGAGGTGAAGGGAGATGGGCCTTATCATGAACGGTGGAGGTGCAGGGAGATGGTCCTTAACAGGAATGGTGGAGGTGCAGTGAGATGGTCCTTATCAGGAAGGCTGGAGGTGAAGGGAGATGGTCCTTATTAGGAAGGCTGGAGGTAAAGGGTGGAGGTGAAGGGAGATGGTGCGTCTGAGGAAGGCTGGAGGTGAAGGGAGATGGTCCTTATCAGGAAGGGTGGAGGTGAAGGGAGATGGTCCTCATTAGGAAGGCTGGAGGTGAAGGGAGAGGGTCCTTATTAGGAAGGCTGGAGGTGGAGGTGAAGGGAGATGGTCCTTCTGAGGAAGGGTGGAGCTGAAGGGAGATGGTCCTGATATCGGAGGGTGAAGCAAAAGAAGATGGATAGAGAAAAGAACATGGTTGCACTGTGCGAGTGTGGAGGTGAACGGAGATGGTAATCATTAGAAAAGGTAGATGGTCTTTATGGGGCAGGGTGAAGGAGAAAGGAGTTGGTCGCTATGAGAGAAGGTGATGGCTGGAATGTCTTTGTTGTGTCTGTTCTTGATGATAACAATAAGTTGTTGTTTTTCTTCCAGAAACTCCCAATTTTCCTCCCCATCCCCCGCATGGCATTGCCGGATTTTATTCTCCTTCCTCCTCACGTTGTTCTGTGCTGCTGAATTGGCCTTGGGGGCCGCTTTTCCTCGTGAAGTCCCCTCCTCATTAGAAGTTCTCTCGGGTGGAGTGTACTGCTTGTCATGGTTTACCCATTTCCTGGTGCTCCTCAGCCTTCGGAGGACGTTGTACACCTCTTCCAGGGGACCTCTGAGTTTGGTGTTGCCGGTTCTTCTCCTGATTCCCTCCTCAGTGATTAGGATAGTCTGGTTATTCCAGCAAGGGGCTGTGACATCGCCTTTGAACTCGGTTCTCGCTTCTCGTTTTTCTCTCTCATGCCTGCGGCTTTGCTTTGTAGTTTTGTATTTTGGGGCGTCTCTTGTTCCTTCTCCATCCCGCAGATTTCCTGTCAATGTCTCCATAAATGAAGGTGATGAAGATGTCTCTCTGCTGTTCCCCCACAGTGTCAGCGAAGAGACATCAGAGGACAATGAAAGTCTTCTTTCTCAGTTGTTCTACTTTTGGATGAAACCACTTTTGCAGAGGGGAGCACGTGGAGAATTGAAGCAACCCCATGATGTGCCTTTGCTGCCATATGGTCTCCGTACTGCCGGAGTCTGCCAGAAATTCCTGTCTAAGAGTCCACCGGGAACATTGCGCCTCTTATCAACATTAAATGCAAGCTTTGGAAGCCGATATTACTCTTTAGGGCTCATAAAACTTTGTTCCACCATCCTCGGGTTCATGGGCCCTGTGCTGCTAAATTTCCTGGTGAATTTCATGGAGACCAGAGAGGAACCTCTCAGCTGGGGGGTGATCTACACTGCTGGGCTTTTCTGCAGTGGCTTTCTGGGGGCTCTTCTACAGAACCAATTCACACATCAGGTCAATAAGGTGATGTTGGCCGTGAGAACATCTGTGTTGACTACTGTGTACCGCAAGGTCATCCATGGTGAGGGGACGGGACTGGCTGGGTTCTCCCCAGGGGAAGTGATGAACCTGATGAGTACTGATGCAGATCGAATATCAAATTTTTGCCGGAGCTTTCATGAGTTGTGGAGCCTCCCCCTGCAGTTCTCTATCACACTTTACCTCTTGTACCAACAGGTGGGAATAGCTTTTCTTGGGGGTCTTGGATTAGCACTACTGTTGGTGCCTTTGAATAAAGTGGTCGCCACTCGCATCATGAACAACAACAAAGAATTGCTCCAACATAAGGATGCCCGAGTCAAGGTACCCCCATCACTGTGTGTCTGGACATTTCCCAGAGTGTGTGCTCTGTCACTTCATCAGCTAGCCAAGGCTTTCCCTTTCTCTCTCTTTTCCTTCCATCCTCACTTTCTTCCCTTCCTCATTTTCCTTCTTTTTTTTTTTGCTTTCCCTTCTCTCTTTTCGTAGCCCTTCCATTTCCCTCTCTTTTATTCATTCCTTCCCTCCCTTCTCTTTTCATTCCCTCTCTCTTCATTTCTTCATCCCCTTCCTTCTCCCTTTATTCCTTCCTGGCCTCCCTTCTCCCTTTTTATTCCTTCCTGCTCTCCCTTTATTCCTTCCTGCTCTCCCTTCTCCCTTCATTCCTTCCTGCTCTCCCTTCTCCCTTCATTCCTTCCTGCTCTCCCTTTCCTTCCTTTAATTCCCTCCCTTCCCTTCTTTTTCACCTTCCCTTTCCTTCCTTCCCTCTCTTTCTCTTCTCTTTCCGTATCTTTTCCTTTCCTTCCCCTCCCTTCTTTCTCTATGGCTTTCTGTTGCCCCCCTCCCCCAGTTGCTGAGTTCCTCATCTGTCTGTTTCCCCAGCTGGTGACGGAGTTGTTGTCCGGTATGCGGGTGGTGAAGTTTTACACGTGGGAAGAACATTTTGCACGTCAGCTGACCATCCTGCGGAAGAAGGAATTGCGCAGTCTTCGCACCATTAAGCTACTGGACGCTGTTTGTGTGTACCTATGGGCGGCCTTACCTGTCCTTATTTCCATTATCACCTTTGTCACATATGTGCTGCTCGGGAACCAGCTTACTGCAGCCAAGGTCAGTGGGGAGGTTGGCGGTCTCTGTAGACGCGTCCATCACGTCCAGTGACCTGCCTCTGATACAGATTTGGCTCCTCTGTCATTCTCTGACATCACAACGATAAGTAATTATTTCCTGATAATTTTAGTTCTGTCTGGAGGACCCCTGACAGAGCTTTGTGTTCTTCCCTGTAGGTGTTCACAGCTCTGGCTCTTGTGGGGATGTTAATTCTGCCCCTGAACAGCTTCCCTTGGGTGCTGAATGGAATCTTAGAGGCCAAGGTGTCACTTGATCGGATCCAGAGCTTCTTGGAACTCCCAGATCAAAACTTGCTCATGTATTACAACACACAGGGTGAGAATGGGGGGAAAGGCACTCTAAGAACATGAATGATTTGACCTGCTCCCTTAGCCAATCACATCTGCTGTGAGAGCTTGTGACCTCTGGCAGTGCAGGCCGATGTGAGATCACAGCCTGGGGCTTTTGGTGAAGTTGTACACTGGAGCCCAATCCCCAGATTCTGCTGTCTGATTATAGAAAGCCTACATTGCTCCAGCCTGATACATGTCCCTCTGTGTCTCAGCACCCCCTACAGAAGGAACCTCAGTGGTGGATATGCAGAATGCCCTCTTTTCCTGGGCGGCAGAGTTTAAGGACTATATGGAGAGATCCACGTCACTGCAAGTCTTCATTGGTCATCTGTCTGTTCCCAAGGTGAAGCACCGATCTTATCATCTGTGTGAATGTATGATGGTATGTGTGGATGAACCGATCACTGATTTGTGTCACTGTTTGCAGGGAGCGCTGGTGGCCATTGTTGGAAAAGTTGGGTGTGGAAAAAGCTCTCTGTTGTCTGCAATGACTGGAGAACTGACCAGGTAATGATGAACCACTGATCACCTGACCAGATAACGTCACACCCCTGTTCACCTGACCGGGTAACGCCACACCCCTGTTCTCCTGACCGGGTAACGCCACACCCCTGTTCTCCTGACTGGGTAACGCCACACCCCTGTTCTCCTGACCTGGTAACGCCACACCCCTGTTAACCTGACCGGGTAACGCCACACCCCTGTTAACCTGACCGGGTAACGCCACACCCCTGTTAACCTGACCGGGTAACGCCACACCCCTGTTCACCTCGCCAGGTTTCCTCTGTTCTATGTTGTTACAGGCACAGGGGAACGCTGTACATGTCGCACCAGGAAGCCGGCTTTGGTTTTGTGGCACAGGAGCCGTGGATTCAGTTTGCCTCCATCAGGGAGAATATCCTGTTTGGGAAGGAATATAATGAGCGTCTATATAAGAAGGTTGTGGAGGCCTGTGCCCTGGCTGAGGACCTGAGTGTAAGTATAGCTTTGTGTGTGTGTGCAGACTGAGTCTACTGTAAAGGGAACCTGTCAGTAGACATGATTTTAAAATATTCTAGTTCCAGGGCTGTTATCTTCTTCTGCATCCCGGCTTCATTAGTGAGTCAGTGACCTGGAAGGTCCCGGTCACAATTGTATGTTCCTGATTACAATTCCTGCAGTGTCGGACATGTGAGGATCACATCTTACCTGTAATAGTGACCACAGCTCATTATGTCATTTCAGATATTTCCAGCTGGAGACCAGACTGAGGTCGGGGAGAATGGCGTCACTCTCAGTGGAGGACAGAAGGCTCGACTCAGCCTGGCCCGGGCCGTTTATCAGGTAAGGCCGCAGAGAATTGTACAGACAATGTCACTCTGTTTTCTGGACCTGGAAAAAAGTCTCACCCACCAGGCTCCTTCCACTCCCCTCAGACAAACCCCAGGATAGAGAGGTGTTCTATCAAAGTTTGTGACTATGTTGGAATGTGATACCGGTCACGTGGTCACACATTTTAACGTAATCTCGCCCAGTTTTCCGGTGGTGGAATGCGTGACCACCAGTAGGTCAAGCATTCCAATGCTTAGTCAGCTGTTCCAGGGCAGGTTGGCATCGCAGATCGTATGTGCAGGAGAACCAATCTGCCATGGAACAGCTGATCGGTCCTGAAATATCACTTCTATCCGACTTTGTGAGTGCGATCTCCCATTCAACCGCACTCACAAAGTCGGATAGAAGTCACATTTTAGGAATGATCAGCTGTTCCACCTTCCATCGGTTCTCCTGCACATACCATCTGCGATGCCGATCTGCCCTGGAACAGCTGAGAAATTCTGGAGGTTATGAGAAGAGCTATCCTATGATTTGCCAAAGCCACACCTCCTCGTGCGCACAGCTCCACCTCCTAATATACAGAACATTTAGATTAACCAGGGGAGGAGGAGGGTCAGGTCCACTCATGTTGTGTTGTGAATTGATCTGTGGATCCATCATTACCTTCTCAGGAGAAGGATATTTATCTGCTGGATGACCCCCTGGCTGCAGTAGATGCCGACGTGGCCTCTCACCTCATGGAGAAATGCATTCTGGGTATTTTGCAGCACAGGACCCGGATCCTCTGCACTCACCGGACTGAGCTGTTGGAGAAAGCTGATCTTCTCGTCTTGATGGAAGATGGGAAAATTATCCAGACTGGTAAGAGACAGAGGTGTGCAGTCTATAATTCTGTCCTCTCTCAGGAACTGATTACATGGTACTTATAATATTCCAGGACCCCCAGAAGAGATCTTGGCTCTGTTCGAAGCTTCACCCAAACTCAAAGTCTCACAAAGTGATGCAAAAGAAAAAGGTAAACATTATACATCTTCGAAGCATGGTCACCTGACTGGCTGTCACTTTCCACATCCGATCACCTGACCAGGCTGACACCTCCCATGTCCCTTCACCTGACACCTCCCATGTCCCTTCACCTGACACCTCCCATGTCCTTTCACCTGACCTGAGGAGAAAGTTAGGAGGATGGAGAAGGGATGGAGGACACTACTCCTATCTAATGACCTAACCAATTGACACCTTCCATGTTCCATCACCTGACCAGCTGACACCCCCTACATCCCACCACCTGACCAGCTGACACTCCATCACCTGATTGGTTTCCACCTATAGATTACAATATTTCATCCACTGAGCTGGAGGCATGTCCCACATCTGATCAACTGAGCTGCTACCCTCCTGTGGGAGCGGAAAGTATGTCCAATATCTGATCACCTGACCTGGTTCCCTTCAGTGGAAGCTAGAGGCATGTCTCATATGTGATCACCTGATCCAGTACCCTCCTGTGTGACCTGGGGGCATATCATATATTTCATTATGTGACCCGGTATCGTCCTGTGGTTGCAGGGAGAAGTGGCAGTAGTGTGAATGAAGAGGATGAAGGAAAGGAGGTCCTGTTTACCGGCTCTGCGATGGGGGAGGAGGAAAAGAAGGAAGGGGCGGTCTCTTTACAGGTGTACGCAGCATACTGGAGGGCAGTGGGAAGCTGCCTGGCCATATCGGTGCTGCTGGCCTTATTCTTCATGCAGGGTATGTTTATTGCTGGTCAGTTCATATTGCAATCATCTGTCTCTCTTCATAGGTCAGTCTGACTGAGCCAACTTGATCCTCCTGGCAATGGAATAGGGGCCCCACCATGCTCTCTCTGACAGCAGTGCATGATGGGATTTGTCACTGACACATACTATGACCATTGTATTGCAGCTTCCAGGAATGTGTCTGATTGGTGGCTGTCACACTGGATTGCAAGCTTGTCGGACAAGTCAGGAAATGAGTCCATCTCGGTTCTGTCCCCTCCTGTATTGTCACCTGCACTGCTTCTCTTCTCCCCTGGAGCCCTCGTGTGAGTACAACAATCACAGGATCCCTAGCTGGGGATGTATTTATGGATGGAGTGCCTTTGTGCCTTATTTCAGTCTATCTAGATAAAATGCTGCTTACACTACTCAACTATTCCCCACCCTAGTGTATAATGGTGTGTCAACCACTCCCCACTACTTTCCATCCTCCAACCTGGTGTATAATGTTGGGTGCACAACTCCCCACTTCCTCCCCTCCCTGGTGTATAATGCAATGTACACCCTTCTCCCTCAAACCTTGTGTACAAAGCTGCTTGCACTGCTTCACAAAACCACCCCTTCCACATCCTTGTGTATAATGCTGGGTGCACAACTCCCCATTACCTCCCCTCCCTTACCCTAGTGTATAATGCAATGTACACCCTTACCCTCTATTTTTCTGTATAATGCTGCATGCACCGCTCCCCCCTACACCTCCTCCTCTACATTGGTCGTATAATTACTATCCCTTAGCCACCCTGGTGTATAAGGTTGCATGCAATGCTTCCCTTTACCATCCCTCTCCCACCCCACCCTAGTGTAGGATGCTGCTTAGACACCTACCCTTTACCCCAGGTTGTAATGCTTTGTTTATCACTCCCCTCTACCCCAGTGTGCATAAAACTATGGGAATCCCTCCCCTCCCCCACCCCATTGTATAATGCTGGGTGCAACAATCCACTCCCCCCTTCTTCCATTTCTCCCACCTGGTGTATAATGCTGTGTGCACCCCTCCAATCCTTTCTTGCTCTTTCACTACCTCTGTTCCAACCCATTAATGTGTTATGTTGTTTGTCCTCTTACAGGTCTCCAGTGAGGTGGACGGAGTCTTCGAGTCAGAACAGTTCTGGGGATATAACCTTCTATTTGTCAGTATATGGCGGGATTGCAGCAGCCAATTCCATCTTTACTGCCTTGCGTGCACTCCTCTTTGCCCTTGGAACTGTGCACGCGGCTACTGTGATCCACAGGCGTTTACTGCAAAGAGTTCTGCTGGTGTGTAGAATTTCAGATTTGTGTTGTCATGTGATCAGATAGTGTCATCCATCCCTTCTCCATCCTCCTAACTTTCTCCTCAGGTCAGTGTCCCCCATCCCTTCTCCATCCTTCTAACTTTCTCCTCAGGTCAGTGTTCTCCATCACTTCTCCATCCTTCTAACTTTCTCCTCAGGTCAGTGTCCTCCATCCCTTCTCCATCCTCCTAACTTTCTCCTCAGGTCAGTGTCCTCCATCCCTTCTCCATCCTCCTAACTTTCTCCTCAGGTCAGTGTCCTCCATCCCTTCTCCATCCTCCTAACTTTCTCCTCAGGTCAGTGTCCTCCATCCCTTCTCCATCCTCCTAACTTTCTCCTCAGGTCAGTGTCCTCCATCCCTTCTCCATCCTCCTAACTTTCTCCTCAGGTCAGTGTCCTCCATCCCTTCTCCATCCTTCTAACTTTCTCCTCAGGTCAGTGTTCTCCATCACTTCTCCATCCTTCTAACTTTCTCCTCAGGTCAGTGTCCTCCATCCCTTCTCCATCCTCCTAACTTTCTCCTCAGGTCAGTGTCCTCCATCCCTTCTCCATCCTCCTAACTTTCTCCTCAGGTCAGTGTCCTCCATCCCTTCTCCATCCTCCTAACTTTCTCCTCAGGTCAGTGTCCTCCATCCCTTCTCCATCCTCCTAACTTTCTCCTCAGGTCAGTGTTCTCCATCCCTTCTCCATCCTCCTAACTTTCTCCTCAGGTCAGTGTCCTCCATCCCTTCTCCATCCTCCTAACTTTCTCCTCAGGTCAGTGTTCTCCATCCCTTCTCCATCCTCCTAACTTTCTCCTCAGGTCAGTGTTCTCCATCACTTCTCCATCCTCCTAACTTTTTCCTCAGGTCAGTGTCATCCATCCCTTCTGCATCCTCCTAACTTTCTCCTCAGGTCAGTGTTCTCCATCACTTCTCCATCCTCCTAACTTTTTCCTCAGGTCAGTGTCATCCATCCCTTCTGCATCCTTCTAACTTTCTCCTCAGGTCAGTGTCCTCCATCCCTTCTCCATCCTCCTAACTCTCTGTCCTCAGGTCAATGTCCTCAGTCCCCTCTCCATCCTCCTATCTGTCCTTAGGTCAGTGTTCTCCATCCCCTTTCCATCCTCCTGAATCTCTCTCCTCAGGTCAGTGTCCTCTGTTCCCTCTCCACCCTCCTAATTCTCTCCCCTGAGGTCAGTGTCCTCTATCCTCTTTTCATGCTTTTAACTCTTTCTACTCTGGTCAGTGTCCTCTGTCCCCTCTCCATCAGCCTAACTCTTTCTCCTCAGTTCAATGTCCTCCATCCCCTTTCCATCCTCCTAATTCTACCTCCTCAGGTCTGTGTCCTTCACCCCCTAATACCTCTCTCTTCTCAGGTCAGTGTCCTCCATCCCCTCTCCACCCCCATAACTCTCTCCTCAGGCCCCTGTCCTGTATTCTCTCCAATTCTCCTATCTCTCTCTCTCCTCATTAGGCCACGGTAACATTCTTCGACAGCACGCCAGTAGGACGCATCATTAATCGATTCTCCTCTGACATGTACTGCGTTGATGATTTCCTCCCCTTCATCCTCAACATATTCTTGGCCAACATCTTTGGTTTGCTGGGCATGCTGGTAATGATCAGTTACGGCCTGCCATGGATCCTGCCCGTCCTCCTTCCTCTGGGTCTCCTGTACTATTCCATTCAGAGATTTTATCGCCACACTTCCCGTGAGCTCAAACGGTTGCAGAGCATCACCCTGTCCCCAATATACAGCCACTTCTCTGAGACGCTGTCTGGCCTGAGTACCATCCGCGCCATGCGTCATGCTGACAGGTATGACTGTATGTGCTGTGTCTGTGTGCTTTGTGTGTACTCTGTGTGCAGGAAGCTTCCAGTACATCTGACCGTAATCAAGGGGTGTTCTTCTTCTGCAGAGAACAGCTGGCAGGAAGGAGTGAGCATTAGGGAAGAGAGCAGACATGGAGATGGGTGTAACTAGGGGGGAAAAGGAGAACAGGTAGAGGAGAGTGAGCATTGAGGAGGAGAGCAGACAAGGAGATGGGTGAATACTCACTGAGGGTGTAAGAATCCTACAGTGCTCTCTCTATTAATGTACAGGATTGGCTGAAGCAGTTTGTATCTTATAATACCGTGTTTCCCCGAAAATAAGACACTGTCTTATAAATGTACAACAATCCACACTTATTCATGTACAAAAATATGGTTATCAGGGCAATCAGGGCTGCCGTACCTTTCCAAGAGCAATTTGCTAACCAATCGCTGGCCAGAATGAGCGAAGCGCACTTTCACTATAGATTCCTCACAGGCGGAGCGCATTTGATATCACTCCGCCTGTGACAGGAGACGGCGCTATAGAGGATGCATCGGCTTATGCGGCTCTGCTCCCTCCGCTGCCGCCTCGCTTCCTCTAGCGCTGGCTTCGTTGGCACCGCTGATTCTCTCCTGCCTCTCCTGCGGCTCTTCAAGTTCCCCCTTATGCCACCACTGGTCCTGGAAATGGTCACAACAAGGTCTTATTTTCGGGGTAGGTCTTATATTTTAGCAATTCCCAAAAATAGTACCAGGTCTTATATTCGGGGTAGGTTTTATTTTCGGGGAAACAGGGTAGCTAATAGAGGAGTTTAGATACAATAGTATTTCAGAAACATTCCTGATGTTGGACATCACACTGTAGCTGAATAGATGTGTTGGGTATTGGGCCAGTCTAAGAGTTATCTCTGCTGTGATGTCAGAAAACAGACCTGTTTATCAGTTCACTAAATTTGTCCATAACGACAGCAAATGGAAATCGGAAATGTATGCGTATGATGTCCACGTATATATGCCTTGTATGTACATGGGTGTTATGACGCACCCTTATATGTGCCATGTTTGTACATTGTGAGTATGTATTATTTACTCTTATACGTGTGTGTGTATATACATGACGTACATATATATACTGTATGTACCATGTGTATATGGTGTACCCCTCTATGTGCCATGTTTGTAGTGTGTGTGTATTCTGTACCTTTTATATGTGCCATGTATGTACTACTAATTGCACTTGGAGTTCCCCTGAATCATCTCCACCCAGACATGTCTGAGAATTGGGTACAGTAATGGAAAAAGAGGGGAGGAAGTGAGAGAGCGGGAACATTCAGGTTAGGTTGGTGGTGTGAAGATGAAGTTTTGGGAGGATGACTTGTATTACGTTTGTTCCGGTGTGTTATTTTAGCGTTCAGTGATCCTTTTGTTTGGTTACAGGTTCAAAGTTGAGTGCGAGTCTCGTGTGGAAATGAACCAGCGCTGCGTGTACGCTAGTAATACCGCTGTTCAGTGGCTGGATATCCGCCTGCAGATGATTGGGGTAGTTGTTGTGACCGCCATCGCTGTTATCGCTATAATACAACACCAGAGGAAGGCCGGTGATCCGGGTGAGAATATCGATAGTGGTGGAGCCAGAGTAGAATAACGTAATGCAGTGAGAGACTGTCTCCGCCCTTCTCAGGCACATTGTACTACTTCTTCCCTTGCAGGTTGTCTTTCCGCCTCTCTGGCAGGTTGTATTTGCCTTTCCCTCGCACATTGTCCTCCTTCTTCCCTCGCAGGTTTCTTCCCCTTCCCTCGCAGGTTGTCCTTCTTCCCTCGCAGTTTTCTTCCCCTTCCCTCGCACGCTGTCCTTCTTCCCTCGCAGGTTTCTTCCCCTTCCTTCGCAGGTTGTCTTCTTTCCTTGCACGCTGTCCTTCTTCTTCCCTCGCAGGTTTCTTCCCCTTCCCTCGCAAGTTTCTTCCCCTTCCCTCGCAGGTTTCTTCCCCTTCCCTCGCAGGTTGTCCTTCTTCCCTCGCAGGTTTCTTTCCCCTTCCCTTGCAAGCTGTCCTTCCCTCGCAGGTTTTTTCCCCTTCCCTCGCAAGTTGTCCTTCTTCCCTCGCAGGTTTCTTCCCCTTCCCTCGCAGGTTGTCTTCTTTCCTCGCATGCTGTTTTTCTTCCCTCGCAGGTTGTCCTTCTTCCCTCGCAGGTTGTCCTTCTTCTTCCCTCGCAGGTTTCTTCCCCTTCCCTCGCAAGTTTCTTCCCCTTCCCTCGCAGGTTTCTTCCCCTTCCCTCGCAGGTTGTCCTTCTTCCCTCGCAGGTTGTCCTTCTTCCCTCGCAGGTTGTCCTTCTTCCCTCGCAGGTTGTCTTTCTTCCCTCGCAGTTTTTTTCCCCTTCCCTCGCAGGTTTCTTTTTCTTCCCCTTCCCTCGCAGGTTGTCTTCTTCCCTCGCAGGTTGTCTTCTTCCCTCGCATGCTGTCTTCTTCCATCGCAGGTTTTTTTTCCCCTTCCCTCGCACGCTGTCCTTCCCTCGCAGGTTTCTTCCCCTTCCCTCACAGGTTGTCTTCTTTCCTCGCACGCTGTCCTTCTTCCCTCGCAGGTTTCTTCCCTCGCAGGTTTCTTCCCCTTCCCTCACAGGTTGTCTTCTTTCCTCGCACGATGTCCTACCCTCGCAGGCTGCTTTCCCCTTCCCTTTCCACATTGTGCTCCTATTTCCCTCGCAGGTTGTACTTCCCCTTTTCCTTCGCAGGTTATTTCTTTTCTCCTCCCACAGGCTGTCTCGCTCTTTCCTCGCTAGTAGTCTCTCCCCGTCCCTCGTAGGTTTTCTCTTCTCTGCAGGCTGTCTCTCCCCCTTCTCTTACAAGTTGTCTTGCTCCTTTTGCAGGCTGATGCTCTCCTTCTTCTGCAGCCTTCTTGTCCTTATTGATCGCCTCTTCTTCTCCATAGGTCTGGTCGGGCTGTCTCTGTCCTATGCACTCTCCATCACAGGTTTGTTGTCTGGTCTCATCTCCAGCTTTACTCAGTCAGAAGCCATGATGGTGAGTGTGGAGAGAGCGGAGGAGTACTCCACCACTCTGCCATGTGAACCGAGAGAGGGGACAGTGATGGTAAGTGAGCCCCTATTTGCATCACAAGAATTGATCTATTGGTTGTTTGGTCCTGCATTTTATGGCATATGAGTGTGTTCCTATAAGGTCATCTTCAATTCTGCATTAAAATACACTGCCAACTTTCCTTAGATAATGAGAAATAAAAAGAGTGTCACAGTGTCTTGTCCCTCCCACCTCTGGACAGAGGACCCACCAATCATAGAGCAGCATATCCACCTTCAAACAGCCCATAGTCTCTTTCAGCCCTGGAGGCCTAGCAATGTTTGTACTACCTGTGACCAGAGAACCCGCCATTCTTGGAGCAACGTAGCCACCCTCAGACAGCCCATGCAGGACACATGGGGCTCTTTGAGGGTTCATTTCTGAGACACTTTGCACAGCTCACCTATGTCTTCCTTCCAGGTAGGGCCAGAATGGCCCAGAAATGGGTGTATTGAGTTTAGAGATGCCATTTTGTGTTACCGCCCTGGTCTTCCCAACGCTCTGGATGGCGTCAACTTCAGCATATCTCCTGGAGAGAAAATTGGAATTGTGGGCCGGACAGGCTCTGGAAAGTCATCTTTGTTCCTGGCACTCTTCCGGATGATAGAGCTGAATTCTGGACATATTCTTATTGATGACACTTCCACGCAAGAGCTGGCTTTGGAGGACCTGAGGTAGGTGACGCACAGACACTGGGGGAGGTGTCCTATAGGCCAGGCCATGTCCTCCTTTTTCTTCTTTGTTCAATTGTTCTGTTTCTCTGCCAGGTCACGACTTGCCATCATCCCTCAGGATGCCTTTCTGTTCAGTGGTAGTGTCAGGGAGAACCTGGATCCTTTGTCCCACCACGCAGACTCCAACCTGATGGACGTTCTCTCCCAGTGTCACCTGCAGGATTTGGTGGAACGTATGGGTGAGTGTCTCACAGAGATTGGGCTGTGACTCCATCATGCTTTGTGTCACTTATTGTCCCATGTCCTCGTCCTGCAGGAGGTCTAGATGCTGAGGTTGGTGACAGAGGGAAGAATTTCTCCCTTGGACAGAGGCAGCTCTTGTGTCTGGCCAGAGCTCTGCTCACTCAAGCCAAGGTGAGCCCTGTGGTAGACTGTAGGTTGGCTATAGACAGCGGAGGACACTCAGATGAGCGGCCACAGAAATACCTTTCTGTGGGCAGTCTTTCAATTAGCACGCATGCCCAGATCAGCTGAGTGCACCTCCTTCGCTCTGGAAAGGCTTTTACCCATATAAAACAAAAGCTGTTGGCCAAGAGCATACAAAATGGCCGACTGATATTTGACCATTATTGTCATCAAAACAGAAATCGATGGGAAAGCTTCCACTGGGGACACTAGTTCTGATGACCCTTCTGACCACCAGGGATTTCTCTCTCTTTGGAGGGATTTCCTCTCACTTCCTGCTGTGGCTATCAGAGAGGAAGTGAAAGTAAATGTCTCCAATGGAACACAGATGGCAAAAAAATCTGGCAGGGCTTATAACGCTCGCTTAGGGCTTGTTCACACGATGTCCGGATTCTGTCCAGACCAGAACAGTTCGCTCCTGCACTAAAAACACATCACAATGTATCCCTATGCGTTTTCTGGGCTCCAGTTCACACCAGCGCAGTGCTTTCCATTCCAGAGCGAAAAAATACTGCATGTCCACATTTTTTCTGGTCTGGAATGCACGGAAACGCGTCAAACACACCAAAAATGCGCCGGAAACGCTCCGCAGCTAACTGAGAAAAAAAGTTTATTTTTGCTCTACTTCGGATGATCTCATCACCATTGGACTTCCTGTTTGCGGTGGAGCAGCAGAAGGGAACCCTGTACAGTTGACCAACATGCTCCAGGACACCGAGCGTTTTGTGGGTTTGGTGGAGCATGCTCCCCAGCTTTATGACCCTCGGCATCCCCAATATAAGAATGTGCACCAGAAAAATGGGGAGAGAGAGAGAGATTGCCTCAATGCTCCATAAGGACTTTGCTTTATTCACTAGTGTGCAAAAGCATGACTGCGGTGAGTGATATCACATATCTTGTTTGGTGCCTTACTGTATGCTGGTCATGTTATCCAGATAAAGTAGTACATATTTGGGGGTTAATCTATAATAAGCAAAGTTCCCCGAAAATACGGAATCCCAAAATAGGAGCTGTCTATAATAATCAAACAGGTAATGATAATGTAACAAATTTTAATGAGAATTAATAATAAAGTAGAAAAACATATAAATACACCTACTGACAAAGAACATCTAAAATCAATTAAAATGACAAACAAGTCCTCCCTGATATCGCCCTGTGTTGATTGATGTAGATGAGAATCTAGTGACCGTTAGTGATGGTCACAAAGAGTCACTGATATTGGACACAAGCGCTGTGTTAGGCAAGCAAATACTCAGTATCAAAGAAGAGAAAAAGAAGGAATTACTCACTTCTGATGTGGTTTAGGTGGTGAGACAATTCCTAACAAAAGAGACTTCAAGCATGCATGAGGTAATGGTCACAATGGCTGTCCCAGACTGCTGGTCCCCGGTTTCAGCAACTTTATTTTCCTGTATGTTGGTATAATTGCTGCGAGGCCTGCTGTGGATCCTCCGGCCTGCTGTGGGACGTGCCTCTGAGGAAGCCCCTGTGTGTAGGGGTGAAACGTTAGGGTTAAACGTGTGTGCAAATGCAGGTGAATTACCATTACCTCATGCATGCTTGAAGTCTTTTTTGTTAGGAATTGTCTTACCACCTAAACCACATCAGAAGTGAGTAATTCCTTCTTTTTCTCTTCTTTGATACTGAGTATTTGCTTGCCTAACACAGCGCTTGTGTCCAATATCAGTGACTCTTTGTGACCATCACTAACGGTCACTAGATTCTCATCTACATCAATCAACACAGGGCGATATCAGGGAGGACTTGTTTGTCATTTTAATTGATTCTAGATGTTCTTTGTCAGTAGGTGTATTTATATGTTTTTCTACTTTATTATTAATTCTCATTAAAATTTGTTACATTATCATTACCTGTTTGATTATTATAGACAGCTCCTATTTTGGGATTCCGTATTTTTGGGGAACTTTGCTTATTATAGATTGACGCTGGAACCCAGGAGTTTTTTGTCCACTTTATTGTTATTTGAGGCGCTTCTCCTTTCCCCATTTGTTATTATATTTGGGGGTTATTATGCTGCAGGAAGATTTCCCATTCTTTGCAATGTATAGTGCTCTTTTGTCCTTTTGTCCATATATGACACTGCCTCTTTGCTCACCTCAGCTTACTGCTAGGTCCTGTGTGCACAAGACTGTCCACCATACAGTACCCAAAACATATAGTTGCAGCCACAACTGGGGGAGGGAGGAATCTCCAAGCAGCATTAGAAAATACCGTATTTGCCGGCGTATAAGACGGGTTTTGAAACCTTAAAACATCCCCCAAAAATACATACAGTATACCGCGCTGAGCCAATCACGGCAGGCTTTGTATTAAAGGAGAACTATGGGGTCAGGGCTTTTCCCCATAGTTCTCCTTAGGGTAACGGGAGGACACAAACTAGCGTCCTCCCGTCACCCTAAGGTCAGTATATAGGGAGCTACAGCTCGCGGTATACTGAGACGCCGGAGCAGATCCCGACATCGATGTGGAGATCCGCCCTGCTGCGTGAGTGACAGCTGGCTCTGCCTATCTAGAGGCAGAGCCAGCTGTACCCTGCTCCGTCCGTTCCGCCAGGCAGCGCTAGGGGGTCGTCTTATACGCCGAGTCGTCTTATACGCCGGCAAATACGGTAGACATTATCTATTGCCTGGTCTCATAAGGACATAAGCACAACGTGCTGCACAGATGTGAGCGCATTTCCACCCTCCCCAATGTTGCCTGTTGTCATTCCCCAAACCAAAGACCAAACCAAACATTCAGATAGGAAAACGGTTTTTATTTTTACATGTTGCAGACAGGATAACTTGTGCAAGGGTCATAAACTGCATTACCTGACCAGATTAGAACAAGGAAAGCATGAGGTGTGAGCAAGCTGTGTTTTTCTTAAACGCATGGCAAATTGTTCCTGTCAGGAAAGCTCCCCAGCAGGGGTCAGAAGATATCCGGCATACTGACAGCCCCCAAGTATACAAATAAAAACAAAGAACTGGAACGCGATAAAAACGCATCAAAAACGCGCTGCACGCATTGCACCGCGTTTGCAGATCTGGACCAGAAAATGGTGTGAAGAAGCCCTCAAGAAAAATGTTTTGGCCCCAGCAGAAAACCTTTTCTTAAAGAGATATTGTGATACATGCAAATAGGACACTGGTCGTGGTCCCTCATCCCCTGACCCTTCACCGCAAAACCTTTTCACCCAATTCAAACGCATCTGCCTAGACAACCCATGCATGAGTTGATCTCAACGTTGTATGCCCACCTTAAAGGAGAACTATGAGGGGGGCGCTTTTCACTCACCTCATAGTTCTCCCTATATACTGGGCTTAGGGTGAGGGGAGGACGCTAGTTTGTGTCCTCCCGTTACCCTAAGGAGAACTATGGGGAAAAATACTGACCCCATAGTTCTCCTTTCAGGATGAACTCTGGCAAAAACGTACCCTTGCAGTGGGGCTACCGCTGCGCTGCAAGGGTTAGGTGCTCGTTGTGTCTAGGGGGCTCAAAGCAGCTCATCAAACACATCAACACTGCATGGAATTTCTTAGGGTGGGTTTCATGATGGTGACAACAGTGGACCATGCCTGCGTGATGAAATGGTCACTTCAGAGACCCCGCGTATGAGTACATATTGTATAGGATAAGATGAGGAAGGGCTTGTGTACAATTTTCTCTCCGACACTCAAGAAAATGCATCAATGGAAGTCTCCCATGTGTCCCTCTTTTAGGTTCTGTGCATTGATGAAGCTACGGCCAGTGTCGACCATCAGACTGACCAGCTGCTCCAGCAGACCATCCGCGAAAGATTCAGAGACCGCACAGTCCTCACCATTGCACACAGGTACCCCAAATCCCTGACCACTCCCTGCCATGACTATGAATGGACCATGTGATGCCATGTCTGACCCTGCAGGATGGAGAATCCACCCTGATTCTTCCCTGCCAGTATCTAACTGACACCTTCTGTGAATTTTCTCTCACAGGTTGAACACCATCATGGACTCAGACCGCGTTCTGGTGATGCATGCTGGGAGGGTGGCTGAAATGGGTTCTCCCATAGTCCTCAGCAGCAAAAGAGACTCTCAGTTTTACCGGCTAATAAATCACGGGCAGAGCGGATGTACTGAGGATTAGAAGGAGGTGTCTTCCAGATCCATGTTTTGCTGTTCTCATGTGACAGGTCCTCTTAGCTCGATGTGGCCCATTTGTATCTCATTGTTATAACTGAGAAAATGAGAGATGCTAACAGAATTGTGATGTGTAAGTACGTAGTGTATGGGGGGGACCTGGAGGATGTGGGGTACCTTCTCCGTGCCACCTGGGATACCACCAAATCTTCAGCCTTTTTATCCTCATTGTGGGGATCTAACGGCGTTCTTTCTATTGAGGTGAGGAGCCCCAGCGTCCTATCCCTATTGCAGCCTTCACCTCTATCCTCCTCCTCCACCCCCCCCAATCTCTTTCTCCCCATCTCTGCCTTCCTCCCTCTCTATCCTTCCCCTGACTCCCAATTCAACATCTCCCCCTATCATTCCCTGCTCCCCATCTCTGCCTTCCTCCCTCTCTATCCTTCCCCTGCTTCCCATCTCTGCCTTCCTATCCTTCCCTATCTCTGCCTTCCTCTCCCTCCCTATCCTTCCCTGCTCCTCATCTCTGCCTTCCTCCCTCTATATCCTTCCCCTGCCTCCCATCAGCACCTCCCTCTTTCTGAGGGAGGTGCTGAAATTGGGGTGTGCCTCCATGGAGATGCCCCCCCC